AAATATGACCTGTTGTGCAGGTGACCTACTTTTGCCGATATTGATGCGGCACAACTCACAGGACTCATCGAAGAGGGCCATCGCGTCGGCTGTCCTTGTAATGCCCTTAATTGTATGATCCGAGCAATGTGAGCCCAAGTTACAGTCACCGGAGTCCTTTCCATTTTCCATATTGCTCTGACAATCCGAACACTTCCCTAACCGTCTATTTTCTCGTCTATTTCATTTGTTCCAGATCGTATCAGCTATTTGGGGTCGTTCACCATTCCACCCTCATCTGGCATCCTGTTCCAGTAGCGTCTACGAACAATAAAACTAGTAAATTTCAACCCACTGACGTCGCAACCCTAACCACAGGAAGAGAAAAGCTGTGTCGCCCAACAACGTGGCAATGCGCTAGCTTGGGGCCACTGATGGCATGTAAGGCTGTCGTCCAGAAGTACCTGAGTTTGTTGCTGCAGTCTGCATATGATACTTCTGCCTGGAAGGGCCGGAGCTCCGTGCTGCTCTTGGCATGTGCCCGGAGGCACCAGTGCTTGGTGCTACCGATGGCATGTGAGACTTGCGTCTGGAAGAGGAGGTGTTTGGCACTGCGGAACACGGGATCAATGCAACTGTGAAAACATTGCCATTGGAGAAGGAATGTCAACATACCGGTGGAGGGTGCTGGCACGGGTAAGTGGATCGCGTTAATGCGCATCGTCGCTGTAGTTTCCATTGGTGGCCGAATTTTTTTGAGGCGCTCACTACGGGTCAAAGAGCCACTTGGGCCATCTTTGGAAGCATTCTCGGGACTGCCACCATCCCTGTAATCCCCCTCTTCCGCGGTAGTGTCTCTGCAGTAGGTCTCTCTATTCTTCCCTTTCCCTTTTGCTCGTTTACCGCTCCCGATACCAGAAGACTCGCCCCAACCCCCAAATCTGCCTCTGGATTTTTCCCCTGCCGACACGGTCTTGGCAATCTTGATCGCCCTAGATGAGATTTCTTCATCGTCATCATCCAAGGGAGTAGACCGCTTCCGACGAGTCTGGGTATTGCTCTCTTTTGTCTCCGCTGCTGGGTCGGCAGCTTGTTCTTTTTCGTTCAGTGGGGTGATGCCCTGAATAAGCCCTTGATATGCTGGATTCGTTGTTATCGATAATAATCATTTCCCAGACGGAAAATCACCTACCAACCCCAGTCTCTGACCCCAAAAAACTCTCCAACTGACGGGCCTTGACATCACCAGCGTGAATCAACAGGATGTCCGCTGTCTTCTCGGTCAATATATCATACACTCGAACTTCTTTCCGTTGTGGTTGACGATGCACCCGAGTGTAGATTTGGTGCCTATCCTGGGCCGACCATTGAACATTCTACGGAACATTCAATTAGTCTTAGTCAAAGCGGTGCTCTGCGCTGTGTTATGATCTTGCTTGCTTACCGCAATGATCAAGGTATCTGCTGCGGACAAGTTAATGCCCATAGCGGCTACTGAGGTGAAGATTAGCACACGGCGGTTCTCATCACATTGCCATTGGGAGACCATCTCCCGTCTTCGTGCGTGGTCTGTGTTTCCAGTCAGCGTGAACGGCTCAAATCCAAGGACATGGCGAATGGCGGAGGCGAAGGAGGGGACGTTTTGGGTGAAGTCCATATACACAGCGATTCGTCGCTTGCGTGGACAATCAGGGTCCGCTTTCCATTGAGCCAATGTGGTATCGAGTGTTGGTACCAGGTGACCATGAGTGTCGAGGGTGATTGGTGGGGCAGTGTCAGAAGCAAGACCATGAGCAATGATGTGCAACATGGTTTTCCACTTAGCACCACCGTTCGCATGATACTGTGCTGCGTCATCAAAGACCGGAGCCTGAGTGCTGGCCTCGATGGCATCAGGGTGGTCTGAACCTTTGCGTGCACGGAGATGGAAATGCTATAGAATGGTGTATTGGTATTGCTGGAATGTACGAGATGAAATCACATACGCCAAACCTGTCAACCTCAACTGCTTTCAATATCGCGTCATCAATATCTGCCGTTAAGCGATCGAGGTGATCAGGCTCCAAGGTGACCCAGACCGGGTAAAAAGTGACGGGCGGGAGATTCACTAGAGGATTTCCGTCACGGCCTAGGGAAGACGGTGTTCGACGAAGGATGTGGCCTGAGAATGCATTACGGAGTGTTTCCAACACGGAGTTGAATTTATCCCGTGCCTTGGCGAATGGTTCAAACGAAGCCGCTGATGATGCTCGACCTTGACGAATTAATGCACCCCATGTCCGAACGTTTGCCTTGCCTTTCGTCCCATTACGGGCAGCCTTCATGGCATTACGTGCCATTCGATGGTCTTCTTGGAACACTTTATACAGTTCTGGATCTTGAAGGGGAGGGGTCCCGATGGCCCAACCAATATTTATGATGTCCTGAGGAAGAGTGCGTCAAAAATGCACACCAATGATACTAAACAACCTACCTGATGCGAAAGTCGCATGCAGGTGAAACGTGTGCATCACAGACACGCTAACAGCACAGTGATTAAATGGACGCACCTTTGGGTCAGTGATGAGGGGAGTGCCGGTCAAACCGATCGTGAACTGGGCCAAGTCACGGAAGAAAAACATGTAGCTTGGATTTGTGCGGTATGTCTGGATTTCATCGATGACCAGAAGTGATGGCACGACCGAGAAGATAGTGTCGTCAGTTTTGCCACGCCTGCGAGCTATGATGGAGGGACTCTCCCACTGCTTGCTAGGACGATGGCCCATTAGTTCTTTGTGTTGCTTCCGCAGTGCCTAGACCAAATGAAATTACAATGATATAAACAAAGGACCGTGCCAGCTTAATCAGCGCTTACCGAGGTCGATGCCAAGATGATCCGCCGTGACTCGGGTTGATAGGATGACCTGTACGACTCCAGGAGTGTACTACTGTTTGCCATATTGGACACGTATGGAAAGATGTCGTAGGCATCTCCCTTAAGGAACTGCTCGCAGGCGAATTTCCACGAGCCGATCAATGTGTTGCTGGCCACTATCATCACCGGGCCTTCTGATAGAGCCGCCTTGGATTGAGGCTGCTGCACGCTAGGCCACTTGTGGCCTGCGGAGGCCGGATGTGGGAGGGTTTCTACAATGAGGGAGGTAAGGGTTGCAAAATCACTGACGAAAGCGAAGCAGCTGGCCCACCGAAGAGCGTACCAGCTGCTGGGCGTTGGCCATTAGCAAGCCGCTGACGTTGCATCTCAAGGTGAACTATAAATGCGATTATTTGACTAGTAGAATTGGGGTTCATTCCACATGCAATCCACATAATCTTTCAGATACTCACGCTGTTTTCCCCAAGCCCATTCCATCGGCCACTAAAATTCCCTGCTTCTCGCGCACGCGCTCGGTTTCCTTGCAAAATAGCATATGGTGCATCGCAAGCACCCCATCAAGTTGATGTTGGTGAAAAGCCAGTGGCGCATTCTCTGCTTCTCTCCACTCCGGCCCGCTGGCGGGGGTGAGAAGACCTCGAGGGTCATAACGCTCATTGAAATAAGGCCATGGATTGAGCATGTCCAATTCCGCCTTGACCTGATGCTCAGTTAGTTGAGCATATGATGACGTACCCACGTCTTTTCCGCCACCAAAGAGCTGGTCCACAGCATCAACTCCTTCCTGAGCATTTCCAACTGCCTCAGAAAACGACGGCACTTCACCGACTTCACGACTTTGCTCAAACCACTCATTGAGCAACAGCTTGAAGTTCTCCACCTGCGGATCGCTAGAAAGGGACCGCACGGTTTGGAGGAATTCTTTCGTAAGCCCTACCCCGTGCGCTCAGGGCCAGCTCAACGGGAAGTCTAGCATTATCAATGAACTTACCTTTAACATTTGCCGTCCCTTTCCGGCAAAGACCCGCCGCATCCTTGTCCACCAAATGTAATCTGACGAACGTCTCTTTCATCTCCTCTTCCAGCTCAGAGACCCTCGTTTTCAGTTTCTCCCGTTCGGCGTCTTCCATCGCTAACATTGGAAGGCCTGTTACCTTGATAATGGCGGACCAAGCTCTGTTTAGATTAGATATGGTGAAATCTTGTGGCTTTGACTCAGGCGAGTTCGGATCCACCACTGTTACTATACATTAAAAACGAAGATAATCGATATTGATCAGACCCACATTTGAAAAGTTCTTCCATTTTCAGGACGTCCCCTTCCGCACTGCGGAGACCACGGTTGCAGAAAGCACGAATCCGGTGAAACGTGAGCTGAACCAGTGCCAATATTGCAGGTTCAGCTGCCGCAGGATAAAATCGTTTTCCATCGCTGCTGCATTGAGTGAGGAAACCTTGGCCAAAGCACTCTACGGCAATCTTCTCTGTGGGGACGCTGGGAACTGCAGGAAACTGCGTCGTGTTGTTCAGGTCCATCATCGTGAATGGGTGGTGACCGCTGTCTTTCAGAGAAATCTCAACTTTCTCATTCAGTCTGGCTGCAGCCCAAAATGCAATAGTCCATGAAGAAATAAGTTTGAATGCGTTCGATCTCTTGATGTGTTTTCCAGTTTCTACCAGAGCTTTGTGGCCCCCACGGCCTCCTGAAGATGCATTTCGGAGGTGCGTACACTCGTTGAAAACCCTGCACACTTTTTCTTCGTCATCCCGGGACCATCGAAGAGCCAACCACCAAGAGGGCCGAGTAGTTATGTCAAGTGTACCGTCTGGAAGACGAGGGAAGAGGCCACGAGAAAGGCCAAGACCGTTGATAAATCCTTCATCAACAAATGGCAGACGGGTAAGCTCATCTTCGGCGTCAAAACTCAACGGGTCTGCAGCATAGCCCAAGTTGTATAGAGCTGGGATTATTGCGAGTGTCGATACAGCCGGCATTGGAATAAGTTACAAGAGTATATAGAACGAGGATGTAGTGTGATGGGATATGACACGAGTGAAGAAATTTGCATATCAAATACACCGGGAACAATCCGGTTGATCGACCATTGGGAGTGTGAAGTCATCCAATTCCTGAAAACCATTGACCCATGTCGTCACTACCTTACTTCAGGTACGAAAGGGTAAAGAGGGCGAGAATGACAACTATTCCCATATAGGAGTGCATCTTGTGAGTTTCAGCCGACCTCTGACATATTAATCTCATAGTTCTCAGAGGAATGACTTGGGCATTGGGAATTTTATCGACAAGGCGGACGGCCTACAGAGAAATAAGAATCTAGAGAAACCTCCCTACAGGACAAGCAAAACCCTCCGAAGGCGTATTGTCCATTACGACGCGTGCTCGGGATAATGCTGATAATATTGTCAGACAGCAGTAACAGCGTGGCAGATAACTTAGCGAACATGAGCCCAGGGGTGGAACAGAAAGACCACACGAGTGCTTGTCCCCATGACCAACGCACATCTGGATACTCAATGCGGCTCCCGGTGATTATGAACTCATCGTGCGAGCCAAATCGGCTCACCGGATGGACCGTCCAAACAAGGCAATCCAGCCCATGTTATGGAAAAATTCAGAAGGCATCTAAAATAAATCCCACACTCAAAATGCGGAGACGATTCAGTCCTTATTGGCCGTTTGGCTGATAGCCCTTGCTCACCACCAGCGTGTTTACCTCAAAATACATTCAGATCAGCTTCAGCGCCGAGATCCGAAGACGAACCCTGAGCCCATCGTAATCTCGACAGCACGCAAAAAGAGGAACCTGGTTAAGTAAGTAATCTGCTGTCCAGTCAATCGCTGATAATAGAATGACTATAACTCCATCGGAAAACGTGGCCCCGTGAGGAACAATTCGTTCATGGCAACGAAGGCGACATCGAGATCTGGAAACCAAACGGCCAAACCCATATTCAAAGCATCCGATAAAAAGTGAGTTTAGCATCACCTATTCTCGGGCTCCCAAAAAATCAACAGCCAGCCGAGTCGTTGTCGCGTCTATATGTATTCAGTTGGTCGATGTAACCTCTCACCATTCCTTTATTGTTTATTTCTTGGATAATCACACCACTATTTGGCCATTTATTCGCCCAGGTCGGACATGAAAACCGTTTGACATTCACTCATGTCACATTTCAATCGGGGATGCTGTAATGGGAATATCTAGGACATTGTATTGAGGCTGTTGTACCGCGGATAGGCGGCGAATTGATTGAATTTGCAATTTAATTGAGACACAGGGTTGGAAACAAATTGAATTGACATTTAAATGGCTGATCATTCCAATCCTGTCACGAAGAACATCAATCTGTTGGAATGCATACCTAAGGCTTGGGTTGGTCGACCCGGTTCATGATGCCCCCAAGGAGTTTCAACCTCCCAGTGAGTCGACCTTTCAAGACATTTACCTGTGCCCGTCTGCATCACTCGCAACATTTAAAAAAACAGTAGCCAAACCTTTGATTACGTCTTTTATTGTCATGGTTCACGTCCATTGAGCGACGCACTAGCACTGTCCCGGCGCAGCAACTGGGCCCACCCCGCTAGACATTTCTCGGCCCCATCATAGAGACAGGCGGATTGTCCAGCACCGATCGACCAAGCTACCAGAACGTCCCGTCGCATTGCGTGAGCGGCTCCCTCATTTTCTGGGGGTCACTTCCCGGTCGTTCTCCCCTTCTCACACGGCTCCCACCGCACGAGAGCTCATCGAGCGCACATCACGGTTATAAACCACGTTCTAGCAGCTCCGCATGATGAGCCCCCTCTACTGTTGTGCCGCCCCCCGAAGAGAGATGAGTGTGTTAGGACCGGAGAGGTTTTTTGTGAGTGTGGTCGAACTCGCCCCTTCTTATCTTTACGTGACAATCAGAGCTCACACACATTGTAGAAACGGTGTCTGCGCGCTTCCACTGAACGGTAAACCATTTTATCCAACGCAGACCACACTGACAATGCGGCAGTTACTCCTCTGCTAGCCCCTTCAATACGACGCTACCATTTTCCCTGCTCTTCGATATCACTGCCACCAGCCCATCGCTTATCCATTCCATCACCTCCATGCTGTCGTGCGCTGCCTTGATCGGGGGGCTCAGGCAATCGAACCTCCCCCGGAATATGCTCGAGGATTCCCTTATTTACTAATCTCATATTTCCTGCTTCGCACAGGGCGGATTTCGCAACACGACCTTGATAGATTCTACGCCGTATGGACAGTGATTTTTTCATGTATCCTCGAACGCATAACTCCCAAGTCATTACCCTAACCCTGACAGTTGCCCACTCTACCATCGCAAAACTATCGACTCGCGGCAGAACCCGCCCTTCACCCAGGCGCTTTTATCCGCTGGCTAAAGATGCCGCCGTGGAGGAACGGTAGACTCTATGCCTATGGGAGATATGCGAAAGACGTGGCCTAACTAATGTAGCTGATATATACAAAACGCTGGACGTCCCAGAGCTCAATCCAGATGCAAGGCCAAAGATAGGTTCACTATACGTTCGGAGCGACACGAAGCTCACAGCTCCTCCACAGCCCCTTCATCCCATATACTTGCATGTCATCCCTCTTGCCGATGAAGAGTGTCTTCGACGGAGACCTTCTTTCCGTACCGCGAAAATTCTGCGAGTCGTTCTCATTTTTTCCCGCCCTGACAACTAACCGCATTTCAAACGTCCGTACAATAGTTGCATAGCAATGGACTCACGAAGGTTCCAGGGTAAGGCTAACAACAACACCCCGGTGGTCTTGGGGGACCGCAGGTCCCGATTTAGACTTCAGAACGAGGCTCAGTGTATCGGCAAGATTTGATTCCCATCATTTCCAACCTACTTTAGACTCTGGCCATATTCCATCGAGCGATCAACCCCGGATCTTAAGTACAGCCGCAAGTGATGCTTTTGACGAGGTATGTGATTGGCAAAGATCCAGGCCATTGGTCTTTACCCAGGCCTTGTGTGGTTTCTTCAGGCGATAGAGGTACATATATTTTCAACCACGTGTCTCACATCACTACAGACTCCTGATTTAATACTTATGAGGTGGCACTGGCGAATTTGCTCTGCAGGAATGCCTGGTTCGTGATCAAAACTTGCGACATACGGTTGTCGTGGCCGGGGTCAATGTCATCCGGACCACTCCGGGCCACAGCGAGGGCGTCATCACGTCATGTGATTCATATGTTCTTGCTTTTTTTGCCGGGCTCGACCTATTACTGCCTAGCAGGGTTGGCTAAATGTACGCTGTGTCGATCTGTCTATCTGTCACGAGCTAGACACCACTACGGAACATGAATCGATTGTGATGCTGAATCTCCGAAGCCGCACTCTGTGAATTTTGCTGTCCCTTCCGCACACTAAGCCCACATACAAACTTGGAACCCAAGGCCAACCTCACGCTATGTGGGAGTCGTCTAAAACGGCATTTTTAACAATACTTGAACATCACTCTGACCCAACTGCAGCAATCTACATGGCTCCTGTGTCTAGTTGCGTCAAGCCAACATTCTCCGCCCTTCTCGTCTCTCGCCTTTGCGTAGCTTTGTCTACTGGAAGGCCTCACTTTCACATCGTACCGGTTTAGACATGCACAAGGTTCGGGCTTAATATACTCATTCATGTAGCGACAATACTCGTTCAAATAAAGTGAAGATGATTGCTTCATGTGGATGATCATTTTTTCCCTTCCTGTTCGATGATTTCGTATATACAGCCATTTAGCGGTCAGGATGCTATGACATCATTTTGGATTCAAGGACTCTTGTGCATGCAAGTGCACAAATTGGGTCGTCTTTTCTTAATATCTTATACCTTCCCCTAGCCGTGCACGGAATGATCCACAATGGCCTGTTGCCGTTCCTGGCGTGCACATTCCGCATCGCACGGAGTGAAAGCGGCCCAAATGAGTGACCTGGATTACAGTAAGCCGCCGTAGCCAGCACTATGAGATGGGTTCACTGAAATAGGACCGAAAAGATAGTGCCATAAGCCTCTACTGATCCGCTGTCAGTGACCATCTGTCCGACACACCGACTGCCGGTGGCAACGATGACAAATGAAAATGATGGGGCACATTGACCTTCGAAAATAGGAAGGTGGGGACAAGAGGGTCCTGATATCACTTTGACGTCGCGTTAGCATGCATCTTGAAATCACGCACGGGCTCGATCTTTTGCCTCGAAAGCTCATCGGGGGGTCCTTGGTCTGGGTATTACTCGCTCAGATGCTGTTACTTGCCCATGTCTTACTATAGTTGCCGTATAGATGGGTTCAAGGCTTGTCATTGAGTGGACTTGTTTGGCCACCAGCGAATGAGGACACCTGGGCGAAGGGCGGGTCTTGTCGAGTTTATTTTGACCGTGAGTGGATTCTTCATCCCACTCATCCGAAGCGTTGGGTGCCGAGTGAGGGTGAGCGGCAGGAATATTCGATGGTTGGGCTATGGCCGAGTGGGCAACTGTGCAATGAATGAGATTTCGGCAGCCGCAGAAGATTGAGCTGTGGAGGGACGGGTGCCCAAGTGTTGAATCCATGTTGAGAGGACCATTGATGGGAGTGATGAGTTCGAGGATACGTGGAACAATCATTGTCCATCGGTGTGGAATCTGGAAAGGTCGTTTTTCGAAATCTTCCCTGCGCGACACAGAAATCGAAGAGAATTCTCGAGCACCGTCTGATAGCAGTTCGATTACCTAAGCCCCCGCAGCATGGAGGCGATGGAAGGAAGAACCGATGGGCTAGTGAGAGTGAAAATGGCGATATTAATTGCGTCTCACAATGAGGGGGCTAGCAGAGGAGTAACTGCCACATGGTCAGTGTGGTCTGAGTAAGATAAAATGGCTTACTGTTCAGTAGAATCGCGCAGACACCGTTCCTATGATGTGAGCCCTGGTCACGCAAAGATAAGAAGGGACGAGCTAGACCACACTCACAAAAACCAGGTCCTAACTCCCTCCTCTCTCTTAGGGCAGCGGGCACAATAATAGAAACGAATCATCATGCGGAGCTGCTGGGACGTGTTCTATAACTGTGATCAGCGTTCGATGAGCTCTCGTGCGGTGGGAGCCGTGTTACAGGAGAAGAACTGGCAAATGAATTTCGGAAAACAAGGGAACCGCTCACGTCATACAACGAGGCGTTCTGGTACCTTTCTCTATCAGCACAGGACAGTCCGCCTGTCCCTATGATGGGGTGGAAAAATGTCCAGCGGGATGAGGTCAATTGCTGTTCCGTGAGAGTCAATGGGCGCGAACGATGGCAATAGAGGAGGTAACCGAAGCGAAGATTTCTATTGCTACTGTTGATTTAATTGTTACGAGTGCGAGTGATGCGGACGCAAGAGTTCCAAACCCTTCACATTCCAACAGGTCGGTACTCTTGCCAGGATTGGAATGATGAGCCATTGAATTGTCAATTCAATTTGCTTCCAACCCCGTGTAAATGAATTGCACATTCAGTCAATTTACCGGCTGCCTTATCCGTGGTACAACAGCCTCAATGCAATTCCCTACTTAAATATTCCTATTACGGCATCCCTGTACCAGGTTGAAATTTTACATAAGTGGGTGTCAAGTGATCTGCATCCCCGACCTGGATGACAGATGGCATGCAATGTGAAATATAAATGAATGGTGAGAGCCACCTCCCACATCAACCAACTGCATTCATATAGGGCCCACTTTTATCGGATTCTATGAATGTGGGCTTGGCCCTTTGGTCGATGTCGCATTTGTTACCCGGAACTGATGAGGCCAGTTTTGCGTGCTCAACTTCACCGCCTATCCGCGGTACAACAGCCTCAATACAATTTCCTAGATATTCCCATTGCAGCATCCCCGATTGAAATGTGACATAAGTGAATGTCAAATCATTTCATGTCCGACCTGGGTGAAATGGCCAAATAGTGATGTGATTATCCAGAAATAAATAATACATAAAGGGATGGTGAGAGGCTACATCGACCAACTCCATACATATAGACGGCAACGACTCGGCTGGTTGTTGATTTTTTGGGAGCCCGAAAATAGA